CCAATGTCCCTCCCGCGCCCCACTCACCCGGTGAGGGGGATCCGGTCTGTGTGTGGGATCCGAACCCTCGGGCGGGAGCGCCGCCGCGCTTCCCAAGCGGCGCACTATCCAGTGCGCCACCGGGCCGGCCCTGTGACTTGACTCTTAGCAGTGAAGCAAGGGGCTGAAAGACACGCACCCACAGCATGCACTACAGAGCATGCACTGCACGGCTCCAGTGCAGCATGTGCCTGTACGCAGAGGGTAGATGGCATGTGCAGAAACCACACGGGCTACATGTCCCCATTCTAGTACCATCAGTATGTGAAGTGGTCGTCAATGTGCCTGTCTTGGAAAGGAGGTAAATCCTTATGGAGTTTTTCATTTGAAACCTTGGGACAAGGCAAAGAATAAAGAAAACAAGGAAAGAAGAATGGGGCTAAATATCATATTTTCTAGCCCCAGAGCTCAGCTTCCCATGACACAAATAAGCAAACACATGTGCAGAATATGCTTAAGCAATGCTGTGCTTCTCGTCGACATTTAGCTCCCTGCTCTGCTCCTAACGAGCAGTGAGAACGCTACTCTGAACCCAGTCTCTTGTGGCCATACAGGACTTCACAGTCTAGAACACACTCTCAGCCACTCTGTAATTTGATCCTCACAAGGAACTCTGTGAGGTAGGTGTCTCCATTTTACAGATGAACAAACTAAGGCCGAGAGACATGGAAAGACTCCCACAAAGTCACACATTTGGAGCAGCAGGGCAGCTGCCATTAAAATGAATCAAGGCTTTTAATAGCCGCCCTTTTCCGAGTGTGCCAGTGTGCTGTCATAAAGTGCTTGTGCATCTCATCCAATCCTCAAACCCTCCAGTGAGCTGCATAGTGTGAGTCCCCATTGCACAGATGAGTAAACTGAGGCTGCAAGAGTTGAAGTAAATGGGTAAGGTTATGCACACAGGCAGCTACTGGCAAAGGCAGGACTCCAAAGCAGGTGGGTGGCAGTCCAGAGCCACTGCTCTCAGCCACCTTGCTAACTCGGCCTGGGTGAAGCTGCTCTGGATTGGAAGATGAGGAGGTGGAGAATGATGTTAGATAACGGTAATTAACCTGTAAGAGTGCTTACCACTCACCAGGTAGAGCTCTACGAGCTTTACATTGTTAGTGCTTGTAATCCTCACCACACCCTGTGAGTAGGGAGCAGTATTATCTCTGATTTACAGAAGAGGCAGACGATTAAGAAGCTTGTTTAAGGTCCCACCCCCTATGAAGTGGAGGAACAAGTTTCCAACCTACGATTCCAACCCCTGTAGCCTAATTCCAGAAACTGCATTACGCTATCAATGCTTCCTATGTTTATTTAGAAATTTCACACCTAATTTCCTCATTATTTTTACAAAAAGCTAAATATTTAAGTAGCAGCTCGTCGATTATGTGAAATGTTTTCTGTGGTCTCCGTGTCTGTGCATGCGATTAAACACTGACTCGGTTCCAAGCAGCGCGGTGGAAATGCTTCCACATTTAGCCTCCCTGCCTTTGAAGTGAAGGTTGAACACCGGGAAATGCGTGTCAGCTGTTCCTCTAAGGCCACGCGGAGCGGCCCATTCTTTGACAAGCTGCGCCCCCTGATGGTCTCTCCGCAGAGCTGTAACGATGTCGTTCAGGAGCGATTTGGACCGGAGCTGAAATACGACATAGCCCTGCGGCTGGCCGCGTTGCAAATGTATATCGCAACCGTCACCACCAAGCAAACGCAGAAAATCTCCCTCAAATACATCGAGTAAGTGTTCATTCCCAGCGCCATTTCGGAGACAGGGGTGCTGCCTTCTTAACGCCCGGGTGTATTTTTGATCTGGGTGTCTATTTCCAAAATTGATCTCGTTTGTGACAGAGCATTCGTTAACCAGAGGCAAAATGTATGAACATCATGTTCATTTCCGGTGGAAGAGATCCATTTCTTACGTAATCCACCTTTAGAGAACTGTAGTCAAAATGAGGGTCAGATGTAAAATGAAGCGTACATTTTTAAATTCCTAAAGGGACTTGGTTCCCAGCCAAGCTTTGGTCTCAGTACTTTCCACACATTAACTTGTTTAATTCTCACAACATCGCTATGAAATCAGTAGGATTTTAGCTTCATTTTACAGATGAGCAAACTGAGGCACGGAATGATGAAGAAACTTGCCCAAGAGGGACCCCCCATTGTGCTGTAGTTTGCGTGATGGGTTGAGGCATCTGTGTTTGGAAAGAGTTCTGCATAACCTGAGATCACTTTGAGATGATCAAAGTGCGATGTAAAAGGTAATGTGCTTAGTCATATCAGGAAGGACGGTGGGAAGTAGCCGGAGAGGATTCCACACAATCAAACTTGGCTTTGTGAATCACAGATTGTTGGTAAAACGTGAACGCCCTCTCTTGTTGAATTTGCCATTAGACCACATCGGTATACTTCTTTGGCCAGGGAAGATCCCCTCTTCTTAGAGAAAGTAGTTTGTATTGCTTTCAGTTGATGAGACTACTTAAGGGTCATCCTTTAAAGGTGAACCCTCTGTCTCCCAATCTCTATGCAAGTCAGTAGCCTAAAGCAGCCATCAATTCAACCTTGTAACTTTTAATGCGGCTCTTGATGCCAAGAAAAAGAACTCCTGTTTCAGAGTTCATCACAGGGCTGAAGCCGCTCTCCATGTGGTGCTAAAATCCTTGGATTCCTCCCCATCCCCACGTCCAAGAGATGTATGCACTAATTAAAATCCCACCTTCCAAAGAAGCTTCTCATGGGCTGCCTATAAAGCCTTCCTAAATTCCACAATTCCAGCTTGATCCACCAGGGGGCAAAGTGGCTTCTCTCAATAGGTTCCTGAGCCTGTGTTGGGAAGGATTCAAGCTCCAACTTGTTGACTTCAATGCCACTGTTCTGGCAACTCTCAGATCACTTGTTGATGCCTAGGCACAAATCCTTGGGTGCAGTTTAAGAACCTCAGGCCTTCAAGTCTCGGTCTACTCCTTCTCACAGATGGGTTAACTTTTTCTCTTGCCACACACGTACAGTGACTGTAGCCTGAGAGAGACTCAGCTCCCAAAGAGGTCTCCCGCTCGGATGCACACCTTCCGACTCTTGTCCACTCCCCTTTCTGATGCCTTAGGGACATTCGAGAAGGTGGCCTGCACAACCTGAGACAATGTGAGACAATTAAAATGCATTTCTGTTGCTACTCTCTGTACCTACACTTTACCAAATTGTGTAGTCAAAGCCTCTCAGAGATAACTAGCTTGACTAAGAATCTTGTAGAGTCTACAATAATGTTCTCATTAATGAATTCTTTCTCCCAACAAATATTCATTGAGCATTTTATATAGTATTTACATTAGGAAAGTAGAAAATATTAATACGTGTAAATTATAACCCCAGCCATTGAAGAACTTGTGGTCTGATTGTAAAGGCAAGACATAAAGATATGAAAAGTAATTATTTAAAATAATGATACACAAGGGACACAAAATCAACTACATTGTGTGTTTACAAATTAAAATAAACAAATAAAACAATGATACAAGTAGAATTACCAGGTGGCCTGTAAGGAGAACCAAATGCTGGGTAAACATGATAAGAGTTAAGGAGGAGGAAGAAAACATAGTGATCACAAAAAATACCATCTCAACTATGGAAGAGCATGAATGGTCAAGTAGGAGAAGGTTGTCTTCCTACCCTTCTTTGGAGAGGACTTGGAGGAGGATAAGTGACCAGAATCTTCTTGGAGGTCTTCACATAACTTAGAGGACACTAGTTGGGCACATCCGGATAGATTTCCTAGAATTCAAAATATGGAACCTTTTTAGAGGAGGGTTGTAGTCATTGCTGGGGAAATGGGCTCTTGGTAAAAATATATTAACCCAGTCCCATTTGTTAGGGTTTTTTTCTTATATATCCACACCCATGAGTGATGTTTGCATCTCCCTGCCAGTACCAGACATACTTGAGCCCCCCACCCTGACTTCACACCAGCAAGAACGTTGCTAGAAGAAGTTAGACAGACATGAACCAGCCGGGACAAAAGAGAACTGTGTATTCCTAGAGAAATAGCTGTTGATGAGGCAGGGGGACAGGGAAGAATGGTTTGGGGACATGGAGAGTTGCAGCCATCCTTCTAAGAGATGAGAGAAAGAGTATGGGCCGACAGGGACACAGGAGACTGGCAGTAAACAAAAGGATGAGAGAAATTGATGTTGGAAATACAAACTCAAGACACGTGAGTGAATTTGAGGAGACTCAGAAATGGGGGGACAAAATGTCTCTTCAATTTCCATTGGTCCCAAGTAGCTCATCAGCATTCTCTCTGGTGAGTGAGGAATGTTTCTATTTCAATGCAAACTTACGTATTAATGATCAAATAGCATGTTTCCTGAGTGTAAATTAAAAGTTGCTTCCCTAATTGAGACCTTGTCTCCATTCCCTGCCTTACCAAAAATTCGTTTGTTCCAACAAACATCAGGGCGCCATTTCGTCTTAGATAACTAATCATCACAAGAATGTGAAATTAAAGATGTGCTCTTTATTGCAGAAAAGAATGGGGATTAGAGACTTTTCTTCCCTCTGCCGTGCTGCAAAGCATGAAAGAGAAGAACATAAAGAAAGCACTTTCACACCTTGTCAAAGCAAATCAAAACTTGGTACCACCGGGTAAAAAGGTATCACATTTGCATCTTAATAGAAAATAGATTTTAAAGAGAGGCTTGCATGCATTTTTTAAAATGTTTAAAATTAGCCCATGAATAAAATACTCAGCATCATATTTTCAGAAGCAGAAATGTTGTGTAACTTTTTTTTAACTGTTAACATATTTCTAAGGCTAATGAAAAATAAGTATTCTTTTCGAAAGCTATTTGTTTCTAACAAGCTATAGACTCCTTATGGTAGGGTGTGTGTATGTGTCCATGTGCCCGTGTGGAAGAGCCTTGCACAGCCTCTGAGACCTTGTGGATAAAGGATAGAATTGTGAGGTAATTCCACCTTTCCCTCATGCTCTTGCTTACCACTCAGACCAGCTTAAATGCACAGCAGCCAGCAAGTGGCCCTGCAGACCAGATGCCACATTAATTAAACCAGCATTTCTCTACTGTGGCACTATTGACATTTGGGAAAAGATCCTTCTTTGTTGGGGGGTGGGGGCCATCCTATGCATTGTGGGATGTTTAGTGGCATGTCTAGTCTCTACCTATGAGATGCCAGTAGCCCCTCCCCCCTAATGGTGACAAACAAAAATGTCTCCAGACATTGCCAAATGTGCCTTGAGGAACGAAATCACCCCCATTAACAACCATTGGATTAAATCCTACTTTTGGAGGGAAGATAAAATTATTTCTGTCACTCACCATCATTACTGTTAAAAGTTTTTTTTTTTTGTCTTTGTCTTCATTAAGTAGGGGAAACACAAAGGATATTTAAAAATATACTTCTGATCAGAACAAAAAGAGGTATGGTTTATAGGTAATAAAAAGCAAAGGATTCCAGGAATCAGAAAGAGAAGGAGCCTTAAAATACTGGACCTGTAAAATTGGAAGCAGTCTAGCAACCCAAGAACACTTTCCAGTTGATACTGGCGATAAAAACTTGTGTGGCTCTAATACAAATCAGTACTTAACGTGGATAATTCTTCCATCATAGTGTCTGACTGTAAGTCATTTGTACTGGCTAAAGCACTCTTATCTCTATTCCCTCCTCACCTCATGACTTTTCTTTTAAACATGTAATTAGGTTCAACACACTATCAGCCACCTTTGCCCACTTCTCAGTTTCATGGGGAGAGTGCCTCCGGTCACAGTGAGCATTTAGCTTGCAGAAATATAGCAGGATGTCTTGGGGCAAGATTTTTTAACTTTCAGTTCTGATCTGTCTGAAGCTAATTTCGATTGATTGACTTGATGTTTTTTTGTTTTGTTTTGTTTTGTTTTGTTTAGTTTTCCCCAAGCCTGGCCCACTAGTCTTGTAATAATTTGGGTAACTCCTATAAGATCGAATGATCGATTGATTGACCTATCTATCACTGTCCTCTATAAAGGTCGGTTTTCTAGCCAAGAGTGAGTGGTTTGCTTTCAAAACAATTTGCAAAATGCTTTGGGGTGTTTTTTTTTTTGTTTTTTGTTTTTTTTTTTTTTTTTGGGGGTTGGCCAGTACAGGGATCTGAACCCTTGACCTTAGTTTTGTATTGTCTTTTAATTCTATTTTTTTTTTTTTTTTGTCCTTTTTGAGACAGGCCGAAACCTGTGAACCTGGGGTTATGAGGCTGTGCTCTAACCAACTGAGCTAACCGTCCAGCCCAGACACTGCTATTTAATGGTGGTCTACATGTTGTGAAAAATTTCACCCTTAAGAAACATTCCTGGAATATTCACAGACATTTTAAAAATTAAAAACCATTTTTTAATGATGTAGGAACCTACATTTTTAAGTCTATAAATTTTATCTGGTTAAAATTTCACTTGTAAATCATTCATGAAACTCAACAGATTCTCAGAGTTGAATTAATAAAACAGGGATTTATATAGCAAGTTCAAACACAACGATTGGAGCTCAGAAAGTTCATGTTCCCTGAAAACTTGCAAAGACTGGAAGAAACTTGAGAGGGGACGTGTAAGAGCCTGTTTAAAAGGCTTTGCATAGATTGCAGGTGCGTATTCAAAACAGCTCCCACAAACTCTATGTACAGGTGAGTCACCTGTGCTAGGGGAGGATTTGTATACAGACCGGTTTTGTCCCTAATTGCAACTGAAAAGCACCACTTGCCTCTTGAAATCTCCCAAAGATCAGATGTCTCAGTGGAGCATTTTGTCGCCTTGTTCTCATTTGGTGAGTGCCCTGGCCCAGCGTGCCCATACTCAGAATTCTCCCATATGTATCTCCCTAAATAAGATTTGAATCTTGATGTCATGTTGCAGTCCTTCATCAGGAATCCAGATCCGTAGCAATTTACCTTCATTCCTAATGCAGAATCTCTGTCACACCCCACTCTTCAGCAGTAAAGTCATCCTCCTTTGCCCTGGGTTTCAGCTGGTCTGCAGCTGAAGTGGAGTCGCACTCAATGGAATTAACACCTGAGGTTTCTTTTCTCCCCTCAGCTCTCTGCGCTGCAAGCCAAGGTCCATTATCTCAAGTTCCTCAGTGACCTGCGACTGTATGGGGGCCGGGTGTTCAAGGCTACGTTAGTGGTAATTTCTTTTTCTTGCTTTTTCTGGGAAGCCACGGAGGCCTGCAAAATGTCACTATAAAGGCTGTCTTGAATGAGCTGCCTCTGATGACTAAAGCAAATCAGCTGTGAATCTTTTCCAGCCTTCATTTCTAATCGGCTTCACTACAGGCTGAAAATATCAGAAGAAATATTAAACTAGATAATGCCACAGCAGAATGCCCTAGAAAAAGAAATGCGAAGAACCAAGAGAATCAAAGGACTCTAACAATGGCTTTCTCTTAAATCATTGAGCCAGAAATTGCTTTCACACTAAAAAAAGGGGGGGTACCACCAACAACAACAAAAGCCTCTTATGATTATGAGTATATTGTGTTATGATAACAGTTACTTTCTACATTATTCATAATTTATTAGAGCCTCGATGCAGTCATATACCTGGCTAATCTAATTGGATGATTTAGTACAATATGACCCAGAAATACCTTCTAAAGAAAATGTTATCTTATAAAAATAGGCTCTCAGGCTCAAGTTTGCATGGTGCTTCAGAGGTCGGATTTTTTATTATTTTGTCAACATTTCTTTCTCAGCAGGCAGAGAAGCGCTCAGAAGTGACTCTTCTGGTTGGACCCCGATATGGCATAAGCCATGTCATAAACACCAAAACCAATCTGGTGGCTCTTTTAGCTGACTTCAGCCACGTCAACAGGATTGAAATGTTTACTGAGGAGGAGAGTCTGGTGAGAGTGGAGCTGCATGTGCTAGATGTGAAGGTAAATCTTTCAGAAGTTGACGCATGGCCTTGATTTGAACACCTAATTTCTGATAACACTGCTGGTATTTACAAAGCAGGCAGAAGGTGGTGTGTGCACAGCATCAAAGATGCCGTGTAGTGCAGAAAACTCCACCAACTCAGGCCTCAAGGCTCCAATCCTCACTAAATGGCTGTGTGACTTGGGGACAAGACACTATACTTCTCTGGGCTCAGTTTCTTCATCTATATATGAAAAAGCAAGTGCCATCATTTCTAGGTCCCTTCTGACTCTAGAATACATGAATTATAGAGAGAGAGTAGGGGAGATTTTTTTCCCCACTAACTTTCTATAATATGTAACTCGTATAGAGAGTCAAAGAGATTTTTTCCAACTTTCTTTAAAATTCCCATTCACTTTGGCTAGATTGGGTCCATATGTGTTTATTCTTTTGGAAAAGCTGGGTGTTTTAGTTAATCTCTCTTCTCATGCAATAGCAATTGGTACTGACTGAACATCTGGCCCCTACGAATGTCATGGCCGTTCCATTTAAAACAACAATCTGAGATTGTCCACAAGAGCTAAACTCTACTTTCAAAACAGGAGCTGACAAGAAACAATCCAGGTCTTCTGTCCTTACCTTCTTTTCCCAGTAAAGATGAGTCATTGGATTTTGGCTAGGTTAATATATCTAGTGTCTCTTTGGAGAAAAACACCGGACCCAAAGGGAGACAGCATCAGCCAGGAGGGTGCTCTGGGAACAGTCAGGGCAGACCCAGCCCTACCCTACTCCCACTAGGGTGGTGTGGGAGCTGTGGATTAAGCATAATTGGGAATATGGGACAGTATTTCTACAGAGCAAATCAGACACATGAGTGAGCTCTGCAGCAGGAACAGATGATCATGAAAGAGAGAACATGGTGCTCAGATGTGTTGGCCATGACCCATGCAATTTCATGGGCTGAATCCAGAACGCTCCAGGTGACTTCATGATGAGCTGAAAGTGTACGAATAGACTTAAAATGCCTGGCCTAGCCCATAACCAAAGATGCTGAGAGAAATAGCCCCATCATGGGAAAAGGCAGAAGAAAGGGTAAACTGGACCTGATAACAGGGATAATCTGCAAGAACTAATGAGTAGTGGCCCTGCTGATGGTGTCCTGCCTATGTAAAGTAATGGTGGGGTGGCTTGGAGGCTGAGGGGAAAGCTCAATTGAAGTAGACAGTTTCACAGGCAGTGCAGGGCTTTGCATGGGAAGTTACATTTCACCAGCAGGGGGACGTTGAACCCAGCCAGTGTCCTACTCCTGGGAATGAAGGCAAGAGGCATGTCATCTCTGTCTCTGTCCCTCTTTTGATGCCTGCTTTTTGTTGCTCCCTTATTTCTCTATTACTTTCTCTCTCTTTCAACAAAACCCACCCTTCCTAAGTCAATGAGAAAAGTCGCTTCATCAAACACTTCCTTTCGTACAGCTAACTTTCATCTGGCACTCAAGATCTATGTCCAATTATATAATAACCTCATTGTTTCCAGAAAGTTTTAGCAAGGTCTTTTCTCACCTCCCATCTGTGTTTTACCCTCCTGTAAATTTGCAATTTCTTTAGAAGCATTCTTTTCCTGAATCTCTTTGACACTTTTCATTTAGTCTCAGCAGTAATTTCTGCTTGATTTTTTACCTCTCTTTAACACTAATTGTCACCATGAACCCAAAACATAATCTTCTTGTGATTTTCAGATTGTAGGCTCACTTCTGGTAACTGAATTAACTATCACTTCTGAAAATGTTAACTATTTGAGAACAAAACCAATTTTTTTTTCATTCCAATGTGACTTGGAAGAGATTCACAATGTCCAGGCTTTTTGAATGATGTCTCCTAAATGTTTTTCAGTAAGGCACTCCATGTGATCCCTGACTTTTTCTCCCCCTTTGTGTTTCTCCAGTGAAATGCTTGCTGAATAACTTCTTTCGTTTACATTTTATATGCGTAAATGCCACTGTTAACACTCAAGGGAGGTTATTAAGGATGAATGGCTTTAACTCGAACATTCTTCTTTGTATAGCCCATCACACTCCTAATGGAATCGTCGGATGCCATGAACCTGGCCTGCTTGACGGCTGGATACTACAGGCTACTTGTAGACTCCAGGAGGTCAATATTTAACATGGCCAACAAGAAAAACGCAGGGACCCAGGAAACAGGTATTGTCTTCCTCAACTCATGAAGCACTGACCCATCCCAGCTTTCACACCCCACACGACAACAATCATGAGGATAAAAAGTGACAGTTGTACCCACACAAAAATTCTAATGTCCAAATTTAACACAAAAGCCTTCAAATGCTCCTGATATGGTCTAATTGTTAAAAATGAAAATGCTGATTTCCCACCACATTTGACATGTCACTCAGAAATGTCTGGGTGCTTGCTTCAAAGGCAGTGATTTTATTGTTGTGAAAGTCTTTGTGGCTGAGTTTTTATTGCTGCACTCTAACCCAGGTCAAGATGCAGAGTTCTAAGACGGAATGGCTGAGTGGGAGCTGTGAGCCCTGCTTTAGGGCTGGTCTCTCCTTAAGGTGTCCTAGGCCTAGTCTCCCGGGAGCCTTCTCCCCGCAGTCCAACTCACCTCTGGGATTCTGGGAGTTTCACTAACAGGAGGACGTGGGCATTGCCTAGCACTTGGACTTGGGGGCTCTAGAAGGGAATTCTTTCCTCTCAGCAGCCATCTTTGTTCCATAATAGCAGCATCCAGATGGCAAAGACATGAAATCAGTTCAGCCATGTGACAGGCCAAAATACTTCCAAAGTGAGGACAAGGAGGGTCGCAAATGTTAAACTGATTTTGCCTTCGTGAGTGGGTAGTTTTCACTTGTTTTAGGACTTTTTTTCTTCAGCATTTGAGCAGTTTCCTCCATCTACAGTGTATGTGTAGTAAATGTGGCTGCTGGACAGACACCACCATTCAAGGCAGAGCCACTGACCCCCAGGAAAAAATATACAATCAGGGGTTTCATAATTAGGGTTTCTTTCAAAAGAAGGAGAATTCTTAAGAAAAATTTTTATTGTTGCTCTTTCTGAGAGAAAAGGGGGGAAGGAAAAAGAGGGGAAGAAACATGCTCTCACTTTTAAACTGAGCAGAAAACAATCACACTTTATTCCATAAACACATTGTAATAGGTAGATACACACACATTCATACAGACTCACATGCAGTTTATTATGATGGTCGAGTATGGGGCAGCCAGTACAGTCATAGAAAAAGGAAAGCCAGAAAGAAAGAGAGATGGATGGATAAAGCCTGTTAGAAGGGAACTTTAACTTTTGAGTCAGATATGGATGAGCCTGGAGAAAATGATGTTAAGTGAAATAAACCAGGCGCAGAAGGAGAAATACCACATGTCCTCACTCATAAGTGGGAGGAAAGAAGGGAAGGAAGGAAGGAAGGCCACAATAAAATGCTGAACTTTCAGAAGGAGAGAACAGACCTATAGCTACTAGAGGTGGGGAAGGAAGAGGGGGAGGAGGATTAGGGAGTGACTGGGTAAGGGACACAAAGAACAATTAAAATTCGTGATAATGAACATGCTAATAATATTGATTTGATCATCACATGCTGTACACAGATACTGGTAATCAACTCTGTACCCCATAAATGTGTATAATCAAAAATAAATAAATAAATATTTGGGGAAAAATAAAAAAGATAAATCTAAGATTTAATCCAGCCCCACCTCAAGGTGTATGGTTTTTAAAATTTCTCTAAGCTTAGGTTTCCTTACTTCTAAAATTGGGATTAAAAACCTAGCTGGCAAAGTAAAGGTTAAAAACCATCTATGTACAGCAGCTAAAACGATGATCAGTACTTCTATTAATAATTGGCAGTCACAAAAATACTGGTGGAAAAAATTGAGAATGAAAGTGAGAGAAACGCAGAAAGGAGAGGAAGACAGAACATCAGACAAAGAAAGTCCCCGAGAGACACAAATGATAAAAAGTAAATAGAGGAAGGGAAGGAAGTCAGAGGAAGTGGTAAGTGTGAGCTGGTTTGGTGTGAGCAGTTTTATGAGCATGTGTTTCCACTGAGCTAGAAGATTTAGAGCAATTTAACACTGACCCTTGAAATCCCAAAGAGCAATTCAGCAATTTAACACAATCCTTTCACGTTGGAAAACCCGTTTTTGGCTTTTTATTTTCAAATCTGAAAGTTTATCTTGAAAATAAAACCTTTACCTTGAAATCCCAAAGAGCAATTCAGCAATTTAACACAATCCTTTCACATTGGAAAACCAGTCTTTGGCTTTTTATTTTCAAATCTGAAAGTTTATCTTGAAAATAAAACCTTTACCTCGTGAAATGTCAAGACTGTACAGGTTGTATGAAGAAAACCAAACCTATCGTTCTAAAAATGGTTACAGCAATAAGGACCTTGCTTCTGTCCAGTTGATGGTGACCTACAATGTAATGTTTAGTAAAACTTCAAGAGGCAAAAACACAGTCACAAAAAATATTATTACTGTGGAGAAGGAATGGAAGTTCAACCACTCAGTAATTTCTCCCAGTTTTACAGCAAGAATGAGTATGAGGGCACATGTTCCAAATACTTCTCCCTACGAGAGAGAGAGAGAGAGAGAGAGAGAGAGAGAGAGAGAAACACCCCAAAAAGAAACTGGTAGATCTAAGCCAAGCAGCAGCCTGGGGCTTAGCATCCTTAAATGGCTCCAAGTACTCTTTTCTCTTTAAAAACTCCCAGAAGATCTCCTGAAACCCAAGGAATGTAGAGTGACACGTGGTTAGGCCACTTCATCCCTAGTCCACTGTTGCCTCCCACTCTGTGGGTGACTGGGCTACAGAATAGATCCCAGTTTCCATCCCACATCCTTCCATGTCTCCAAAGTCATTCCATTACACCCTTTCGGAAGGAAGCCAGGATTGAGCGGGTATCTTCTTCTCACTTCAAATTGATCATAAACCTTGCTAAGATGTCTAATAAGGAAGAATAGGCCTCCATTTCTTCTTCTCCATCTTGAAAATTAACCTTCAAGCACTTTCAAAATCCCTGATGCCACATATTTATGCATCTCTCGGCTTTAGTAGGGTCTGAATAAGATCATTAACTTGCTTTTAGCCTGCTGACCTATTCAGTTTCCTTTTTGGTCTAAACCAGGAGTTGGCAAACTATGGTCAAAGGGCCAAATCTTGTTCTTGTAAATAAAGTTTCATTGGAACTCAACCACTCACATTGTATTACTTTCCTTGGGCTACTGTAACAAATTGTCATAAATTTGGTGGCTTAAAACAGAAATTTATTCTCTCAAAGTTTTGGAGGCAAGAAGTCCAAATTCAACATTTGGCAGGGCCCTGCTCTCTCCAAAGACTCTAGGGGAGAATCCTCCCTTGCCTCTTCCTACTTCTGGTGGCTGTCAGCATTCCTTGTGGCTGCATAACTCCATCCTCTGCCACCATCTCCACATGGCCTTCTCCTCTTCTCTATGCGGCCTGAATCTCCCTCTGCCTTTCTCTTGTAAGGACACTTGCCATTGGATATGGGGCCCATGCAGACAATTCAGGATAATCTTGTCTCGAGATCCTTAACTTAATTAAATCTACAGCACTCTTGTTCCAGATAAGGTCCCATTTCCTATAAGGTCACATTCACAGAGTGAACATATCTTTTGGGGGCCACCATTCAACCCATACACCCATTGTTTATGTATCATCTGTGGCTACTTTCATAGAGTTAAGTAATTGCTAAGCTGAGCAACTGGCCCACAAAACCTAAAATATTTGCTATCTGGCCTCCCATTTAAAGAAAATGTTTGCCAACCCCTGGTCTAAACCTGGAGCGCTATTACAATACACTTTGCTCAAAAACCCTCCCTCCCTGCAACAAGCCACACTACACACACACATACATATACACGCATACACAGCCAGTCATAATCTAAATTGTTATTGTTAATAAAACAATACTTAACATCCACAAGATATATTTATTATAAAGTAAGATGCAAATATGGCCAGTGTCCAACTCAATGTCTTCAAAATTATATCTTTTATTTGCTGTTCATGAAAATATAGGTATTTAGTAAAGCAACTCTGACCGTTGTTAAGCATTAAGTCCACTGTGTAATATGGGGGGAGTAAAATCCAGTTCTGTATAACTGATTTTTTCCCCATATGTCTTGTACATCTGATGTTAGTATTATCCAAACTTGGGCCAGGGGATAATTTGAAGGAACAGATGGGGGAATGGTATGGCCCTAAAATGTCCTCAGAATGTTGCCTCTGGAATCTACAAAGCAGTACTGAGAGAATGACCCAGTTCCCTGTCTTTTAAATATCAGAGCAAATCTCCACATGAAAGTTCCACATTGAAAGACCCTTGAAGAGAAAACCAAAAAAATTTTAATTAGGATTTTGTGATTTTAATTCATGAGAAACATCAAATAAACCTTCAGGAGTTCCCATTATAGAAACAAAAATTGAAAAATTAGAAATAACAGACAGAAATACATTACCTACGAGTGCTCCACCTGTGCGTTATATATATAATTTTATATACACACACACACATATATATATTTGAAGACCCCTCACGTGTATGTACACACACACACACACACACACACACACACACACACACATATACAGGCATGCATACTGACATTTATACATGAATATATTAACACCCACTAGGATATAAAAAGGCTGAAGAGAGAGATTTTTGTGCTATAATTGCAATATTTTAATTTCCTAAAAAACGTGGTGGAAGTGTAAAGATTCTTGACTTTCTCTTAACTCAATGAGGAAAATGTTCAATATCTTCCTCCACAAAGTGGGAAATGTTAGATCTCACTTTACAAAGAAAAGAGCAATTTATTTTTTATAATAACAGCCTATTGAAATATCACCTTTAAGAGTTGTAAAAGCATATTGTATGTTCACATTCATAGATGTAAATGAGGTCTTTTAATAATATAACTAAGGGTCAGATGGAATTAAGCTATAGTTCCCTACTCCTGGATGGTATTTCATTTTATTGAATAGCAATTATATTTTATGCAGTTTCAATTTTGTTAAGGTCAATTCTCCTAACACGGAATCCTTACACCTGAAGCCTAAATCAACTGGTACCATATTTGGAGAGTTGAATAAGCATATTTACACAAGGGATGCTACAAGCCATTACACTGAGAAACAGGAAAAGAAACAAACAAAAAGAAACAGAGACAAGAACCCCCCAGAAACCAAACAGCACAGTAACATGTCTTTGCATGATTCTTTCTCTTTAGGAACTGAGAATAAAGGAAAACATAACCTCCTTGGCCCAGACTGGAACTGTATACCCCAAATGACCACCTTTATTGGCGAAGGAGAACAGGAAGCCCAGATAACATATATAGATTCAAAACAGAAGACTGTCGAGATTACAAACAGCACCATGTGTCCAAAAGACCACCGGCCCATGTACATAGACACGTCCTATCACTCGGATGAGCTTAACCAGCAGCTGGCCCAGCCCAGTGATGCCCCCTGCGAGGTCGACTACAGAAGTCTAGCTCAGCGGTCCCTGTTGACCCTCTCAGGACCAGAAACTCTAAACAAAGCACAGGAATCTCCAAGAGGAGCTAAAGTGTCCTTTATTTTTGGAGATCTCGCCTTGGAGGATGGTATTAATACCCCAACTCTTGGCTATGAGAGACTATTAGATGAGAGTCCAGAAATGCTGGCGAAGCAGCAGGATCTCTACATCGGCGGTGCCAATGACGTGAAGAGCCTGGAGCTTGCTGCAGACACAGAGAGTATCCAATTTGTGGCAAATTCAGTTTATGCAAACATAGGCGACGTGAAGAACTTCGAGGCCACCCAGGGCATAGAAGAGCCCCTCTTGCATGACATCTGTTACGCAGAAAACGCCGACGATGCAGAGGATGAGGACGAGGTGAGCTGTGAGGAGGACCTTGTGGTGGCAGAGATGAGCCAGCCAGCCATCCTCAACCTGTCGGGGTCAAGCGATGACATCATTGACCTCACGTCCCTGCCCCCTCCGGAAGGTGATGACAACGAGGACGACTTCTTGTTACGCTCCTTGAACATGGCCATCGCCGCACCCCCACCTGGCTTCAGAGACAGTTCGGACGAGGAGGACTCTCAGAGCCAGGCAGCTTCCTTCCGCGAGGACAAGGAGCAAGGCGGCAGTCTGCAGAACGATGACATCCCCGTGTCCCTCATTGACGCTGTGCCTACAAGCGCCGAGGGCAAGTGTGAGAAGGTCCTGGATAATGCTGTCGTTTCCACGCTGGAAGCTCTAGAAGCTCTGTCCGTGTCAGAAGAACAGCAGACCAGTGACAATTCAGGTTCTTTCACGATTGTTACGTTTATTCACTGATAACCATGTCATTCCATCCTTTCAAGCCATTTGCCCTTGGAGTCCTATCATGTGGCTTTCTCCATTTCACGCATGTCCATGTCATAAATGTGCTGAAACTACCATCATGGGTTTGCTGTCTATGCAATTTCCTTTGTTGTTATTTTTTAAAAACATATGGCACATTTCCCCCCATTCCTGGAACAACTGTGCAATAAACTCAGAGTCTTTACTGAAAAGGGAAAAATTTGGTATTTTTAAAAAATAGTAACGAGTCCCATTTTCTTACATGTCTCCCAGTGCCTCTGATGCATCATTAACCGGTTCTTATTTTTTACGGCATGCAGGTGTAGCCATCTTGCGGGCCTATAGTCCTGAGTCTTCGTCAGACTCGGGCAATGAAACTAACTCTTCCGAAATGACTGAGAGTTCTGAACTGGCCACAGCACAAAAGCAGTCAGAAAACCTGTCCCGCATGTTCTTGGCCACTCACGAAGGCTACCACCCCCTTGCAGAAGAGCAGACAGAGTTCCCCACCTGCAAACCCCCCCCTGGGGGCTTGCCTCCCAAATCCGCCCATGCCCTGGCTGCTCGTCCAGCGACCGACCTCCCGCCCAAAGTTGTGCCTTCCAAGCAGATACTTCACTCAGACCACATGGAGATGGAGCCTGAAACCATGGAGACCAAGTCGGTCACTGACTATTTTAGCAAACTGCACATGGGGTCGCTGGCATATTCCTGCACCGGCAAAAGGAAAAGCAAGCTGGCCGACGACGAGGGGAAAGCACCCCCTAATGGGAACATACCAGGAAAAAAACAGCAGGGGACCAAAACAGCTGAGATGGAAGAGGACACCAAAGGTAAATTTGGTACTGTGTCTTCGAGGGACAGTCAACACCTGAGCACTTTTAACCTGGAGAGAACAGCTTTTCGCAAGGAAAGCCAAAGATGGTATGTGGCCACTGAAGGTGGGGTGGCTGAGAAAAGTGGGTTGGAAGCAGCAAAGGGGAAAACCTTTCCAAGAGCTTCTGGTCTTGTGACAAGGGAGACTGAAGGGAAAGAGGAAGGGGCTCCTGATAGAGAAGCCAGGGATGTTCCAGGACTTGGCCAAGGGGACCACTTCTTAACTGATGTGACCTGCGTGTCTTCAGCCAAAGACTTAGATAACCCAGAGGCTGCTGACTCATCCACCTGTGACCATCCTTCCAAACTTCCTGAAGCTGAAGAGACTGTGACCCACCTTTGTGACTACCACTTGGCCAAGCGGATGTCATCATTGCAAAGCGAGGGCCATTTTTCCCTGCAGAGCTCTCAAGGCTCTTCAGTGGATGCAGGCTGTGGCACAGGCAGCAGTGACAGCGCCTGTGCCACTCCTGTGGAGTCCCCGCTCTGCCCCTCCATGGGCAAGCACTTGAGTCCTGATGCTTCTGGGAAAGGCATCAATTACGTTGCTTCAGAGGAAAGAGCCACTGGGCTTCCCAACCATGGAGCCCCTTTTAAGGAACTGCACCCACAGACAGAGGGGATGTGTCCGCGGATGACAGTGCCTGCTCTGCACACAGCCATTAATGCTGAACCCCTGTTTGGCACTTTGAGAGATGGATGCCATCGGCTCTCCAAGATTAAGGAAACCACAGGTACAGCATTGATGGATTTATTGCTTTGCATTACCCGTCAGCAGCATGTAAACCAAATTTACAACAAACCTAAAACTACAAGGTCTGGAAGAAAAGCAAAAGTTAGAATAATAATAATTTGTTAAATGGCCACAGAACTGTTAAGTAGTGATTATTGATCCCCTGGTGTTTAATAAATACTGAAGTTTCTAGGTCTAGGACAATGCTGAAAATGGCATTTGTTCTTCATAACCTTGCTTTTGCTTGATTTTAGAATTTGATGGGGCACTATCTTTTTCTCTAAGTTCTAAATGCAGACTTTTAGCAGTGCCCAGTGTGACTTTTAGTTATAAGACTGTATTGCTTCGAGTCACATAATTTTTAATTTTTACAACTTTAAATTTAAAAAATTAAAATTTTTCAGTTTTCAGTTTTGTTGTTGAGACTAGGAAGCATAATGGAGTAGAGTATGAGGGAATCTGGAGGGTTTGGGGAAATCATTTGCCTTTCAGCAATATTTGGGCATTCCTCCCTGTTCTGTAAAACTCTCCCCATAAAGGGATATTCTGGAGTATCCCACATGTCCCGGTGTCAGGAAAGTTTTGCAGGTGTGCCCGATGAGCTGCTTTATTTTCCCCAAAGGAGTAAAATATAGACCCAAGTAGAAACAAAAACATAGGCGTCTTCTGTACCCGCCTTCACCATTCTGCCACCCAGCAGGCACATATTCCTCTCACTCATCCACGTGGCTGGCCATCATGTGGCAAAAGCAGATGCTCTTTCATACTTTCATGTTCCAAATTATGTTATCAATAGTGTCTTCTGCATATTGGTTAATAGATGTTACCAAGATCTTATATCAGTCTATTTCTATTCCTGTCTTTGTAAGATTTTCTATTTTCCCAAAACCCTCCACTGGCTTTGCCTGGCTTGGGAAAACCATCTGTGAATACTATGTACCTCCTCACCAAATGCATCTTTACCTCTCAGCTGATTAAACCACACTGTTGAATCCTTCATGGTTTACAAAGAGCTTTTACCTAAGTTACCTCTTGCTCCTCACAAAAGTTCTGTGAGATGGAGATTATTTTCTTCACATGACAGCTCTTCTGAGAAATGTTGAGTGACTCACCCAGCATCTCGACTTCAACCCCTGTACCAGGCAAACTTCATGCTGTCCTTTTAAGAAGGTTAATTTCATTAATATGCATTAATCAAATTAGGCCAATTCTTTAAAAAAAACAATGCCAAGGTTAACCTAACTCCCTTGAAATGAAACTTAAATATCTTAAATATATATGAATAATTAATATATACGGTGTGGGTTCTCTGTGTGTCTAAGCTTTGATAGGTAAATATTGAGAGCAAGGCAACTTATGAAATTCCACTGTCTCTCTGAAAATGTTTGGAATTTCTAGACAATTCCAAATGAATCAGTAATTCCAGAAATAAAAGATTCTAGTATTTTTTGACATTCACTGGAATGAAGGTCTGTTATGAGATATTGGGAGGCAGTCTCTGAAAGCAGAGCAGCCCTGACATATGGCAGCCCTTCTAGAATACATCCTCAGGAAATGACAGACATCACATAGAGATGCAGTGAATGCCACCCGGGAGATGCTTAATGATTCTCTCTGTTTTTCTACTACCCCTAGTGTAGCTTTGACAGAGCCTGGGAAAGAGAGACGAGGAGGCATGCCTTCAGCTTGGTCTCAACATCCTGAAGCTGATCCCTTCCTGCTACCATCAAACACTCACTCGGAATCAAAGGTGCCAATTCCAAATCAAGACCCTAATGATTTCTCCCAAGTAAACCAGGCATACAGAGGGGCTGTGAGCTGGCTGCCACCGGATCTGAGAGGGGGGAGCCTCAGGACACCCCCCAGCCAGAGGGCTCTGAGGCACAGCAGCAATATCCTCTCAGCATCCATAGGTTTGGAGACCTTCCAAGAGACAAGCAAGGGTGCAGTCAGCTTAAAGTGTCCAGGTATCTCAGAAGCACAGAAGGGTAGTTCTGAAAGGCTAGCAGAACTCCCCCTGGGAAAGAAGCTCACCAAAAGTTTGTCCCAAAGCTCGATGCACTTTAGCTCTGAAGGGAAGTTTCACAAAAGGTCTCCAGTGGCCCAGAAAGACTCAAAGCTGTATAGGACATTACCCTTGAGGAAGCTGGAGGGCAGCAACTGGAGATGCCGGGGCCCTTTCAGCTACTGCTTCCTGAACCGAGGGCAGGATGAAGATGGTGATGAGGATGAAGAGGGAGAGGAGGCTGCCCACCAAGTCTCTTGCCTTTATCGACCACAGATGACTCAAGCCATGCCACAACCAACCAGCCCATCCCTGGCTGCTAGGATTCAGATGCAAGGAGGGGAGCTATCCAGAGATTCAGTTCTGAAGGTCTGGGCAGAAGACCTGAGTGGCCCAGATGACTTGGACTTCAGCAACCTGGCTTTCGATGCCCAGATTTCAAGAATAAATGCCCTGAAGGAGAGCTCATATACAATGCCTGATGGGTTCCTTGCAGCCCAAAATGATGCCAATGAGCTACTCTGCCTCATCAGGGCAACCAAGGGAAAGAGACAGGAGTCACACCCTGAAGCATATGACCTAACACTTTCTCAGTACAAGCAACTGTTATCCATCGAGTCCAGACAGTTGGGAAGTGCCTGTAGGAAAATGGCGATGGCCGAGAAAAGCCCAGAGGAGATGCTCCTAGCTATGACTTCCAGCTTTCAAGTGCTCTGTTGCCTAACAGAAGCTTGCATGCGATTAGTTAAAGTTGTGAACTCAGAAACACAGCGGCAGGAAATTGTAGCGAAGATCAATGAAGTGGTCATAAATTACATCTGTCTCCTGAAAGCTGCTGAGGCAGCCACTGGAAAGACCACTGGGGGTCCTAATGTTGGACTCTCGACACGACATTCAACCACCATGGCCGCTCTCGTAAGCACACTAACACGTTCTCTCAAAATGCTTTTAAATAAATAAATATGAAAGTCACATCATAATCTACCTTTGCAAAGCCATACATGAACTTTTATTTACTTTGTGTGTACGATAAACAGATGTCTCCTTTCTTCTCTCTGTATATTTTGTTATTTTATATAAAATAGGAGATAAAAGTCACACTGATGATATGTTGAAATGTACTAATAGGATGTATTCTGTTTATATTATACGTATATGTACATGTAAAAGAAATGTACAAGAAAGTGATGACATTTGGCTATTTTTCATATAGTCAAAACTCCAGGTATATGATGTGAAATTTTAAATTCTTCCGTGTTAGAGCAAAACAATGAATCCTATTCCCTTTCCTTCCAAGCAGATACTTGGAGACCGTATCATTCATATTTACAAGTGAAAACAAAAGAAAAAAAAGAAAAGAAAAGAAAGGAAATCACAATGTATATAAAACAATACTTATGTTTTAAAATTATGATTTTTAAGCATTGGAAATAGCAAAAAGACATTTAAAATTCAAGAAGCTATTATGAATTACTAGAGAATATATATATATATATATAATAAATTACTTTTTTGCTCATAGAGTTTGGTTATTGGATGCTTTCTTCCAAGAATCCCACATATTTAATTTAGGTTTATGATATTTGGTCTACAAATGGGTAGGGGATGGAGACTACTATGTCAACACAAATGCTCTTCACAGTGTTTCTAGAATTTAAAAACCTCCCGAAAGTCCATGGAAATATTTGTTCTATTTTTTCCATGAAGTTTTTGAAGTACCCTTGTAAAAGAACAGAGAGAATGATGGACGGGTACCTAGGTAATGTTTAGAGTTATTGATTACCTAATCACATAAAATGAATGAAATTAATAATATCAAAATTAAATTGTTTGATGGAAAGAGAGATTTGCTTTGACTAAATGTCAAAATCTGTAAGCCAAAGACATCTCTCCCCACCCCAACTCAACCATGAAACTTAATATTCCCTTTAAAGTGACAGAACACTTAGTAAAGTATTTGCAAAATTACAAAAAGGAACACTTAAGGATCACCAAAAGCAAGCACAGACCCAGTACTGTAGACCAGAGTCACCTCTCAGGTGGCAGCTCTCAGCACAGAGCTTCACACATCACCTCCTCTACAGGGTCCCAGGCTGCCAAACAAATTTGGAATTACACCCTAATACTGAGACAAAATTTCCAATCTGGAATGCTCCAGAAAATCAGGGAGAGATAGCTACTCTAATAATAGAAGCCATGATTGAATTAATAATAAAGTACTTATTGAATACTTAATCTGGATAGGCTGATAGAAATGTAAAATCTAAAAGAAAAAAAAAGTAAATTGTACTATTTCTGGTGAAACCAACAGAATGCAAAGAAGTTTTCAGAACTGTCACCTCTCTAAAAATATATCTTTGGGTCAAAACAAAAGGATGCAAACTCTGCAATTGTAAAATAAAATTGATATGTATATACGTATTTTCTGAGTCATTCAGTGCTCAAGCTATACACTCCTCTTTATGAAGATGGCTCCTTAGAATATGACAGGAGTATAGCAGGTGCAAATATTGCCATTTTTGTAGCCTACTGGGCAGGAAGCCTAACAGAATCCACAATTGCAATCTCTCTCTAGCCAGTCTTTTCCCCAGAGTCTCAACAACAAAAGCCATGATGTTTATAGATGGTAGCAAACAAAAGGAATTTAAGCATGTGTTATTATAAATAATGTTTAATTAAATAATAAAACATTATTTCATTACAGTTATAAATATTGGTGTTTTGATATTGAGAGATATTAGTGGTGTTTTCTGTGGAAAATCTTAGTAAATATCATTTTGTGTACTAAAATATTAACATATTAATAGGATGTGTGCTCCATGTCAGACAACGTGCTAAACATATCACATATATTATCTCATTTAATCATCACAACAATATTATGCTTTGGACACTATTATTAATTCTCTCTGGAGGCAATATGGTTTAGTAGATATTGATATGGGATTGGGATCAGAAACATCTTGATTTAAATTTTAACTGCTATTTTCTAGCCTTTTCATCTTGGGAAAGCTATTTTTTTCCAAGTCTCAATTTTCTCATAGTAAAATGGAAATCAATAATAAGATCTATTTCTATAGGGTTGTCATGAGTTTTGAGTAAAATTACATATGTAAAGTTTTTACCACAATACTTGGCAGAGAGTAAGTACTCGAGTAATGTTGATATTATTTTCATCATAATCATTGTATTAAATATATTGCCCAAAATGATATGTGGGGGATGTTTGTTTTATATGCGTGTTGTCTCCCAACGCTATGTGCAGAACACATTATGTGTGCTGCATATATATATACAGGGAGTGCACAGGAAGGTGACAACGACCCGTTATCAAATCACATATCTAGTTAGAACAACTTCCTAGTCTATTCCACTTCTTTGAGAAGCCTCAGGGAAATATCTCTGGGTCTTTCTAATCGATCTCCCATTACCTATGACTGCTCCAGTAAGTTTCTGCTTCTTATAAGCAAACTTTACTACTCAGAAAACCTCGAGGGGCCCCCCATTCACTAAGCATGGGGCTCCTAACTGAGGTCCAGGTCCACTAGACTGTGGGAAGAACATATTAGAATGATACTTGTGTTTATTTTTATCTAGCTTTTTTAATGTTTGTGTATGTTTTATAATGGCATAATAGTACACTGGTACATGTACATAATTTTAAATAAATAAATAAATAAATAAATAAATAAGCATATGCCTGGTGCATGCATGTAAAAATATTGTCGTAGGTAGGGCTGCATTTACTAAAGTTTAGAGAGCACTGAACTACAGAGTGAAACTTCCTTGCACTGGAGGTCCTCTACATTGAGTCTCCACTCTACTTTTCCAAGTATATCACCTACCATTTTTATTAATCATTTATTATAAAACATTCAAACATATACAAAAGTAGACACAATCATATAAGGAATCAACATGGATTTGCCACACACCAATTCATGTCTAATCTTATTTTCTCTGTTTCTAACCACCTTCTCCCACACTGTATGATTTAGAAGCAAGTTCCAGACATCGTAGCATTTAATCCATGAATATTTCAGTAAGAATCTTCTATAGATAATACCTTTTAAATATAACCATAATGCCATTTTCACATTTTAAAAATTAGTAATTCCTTACTATTATCAAGTAAGCATTACAGAAATAAATGATGGAGAGTGAAAGTCCCCTATAAACCCAACCCCCAATGACAGTTACTGTGCACAATTTAGAGCACCTTCTTTCAATGTTTTTCTCTCTATATACTAATGTTACTATTATTGCATCTGTTTATGAGTTCAACTTTTGACTCAAAGAGTTGGTCTGACCACATGTGCCATTCTACCTTAGTCCCGGATCCATCATATTTTATGTAAGTGGATTGGCCAGAAAGCATATGATCGATGTGGAAAGACCGAGTGCTCAGAAGAACAACCACCTCAGCATTAGGTTTCTAGCAGAATCTAACAACTAATGCAGTTGCTTCAGACATTAAAATTAACACACATCTCACCAACTCTAGGCCCAGTAGGAATTAGGCTAATCATAAAAGTAATTATTTTCCAGAAAGGACTGACAAATATTGAAATCATCAGCTACAGCAACACTACAGTGGCTCAATTGCTTTCACTGTGAATTCCATCTTTCATTATGATTTGTCTTAAGAAACACAGTCTTTGTTTATGTTCCAATTGCATATATTTCTAAATGCCAACTATAAATCCTATGAACGTTACTTCTGAGCTACTCAGGATGTTGCTGTAATTTACTCTGCCTGGATTACTCTTGCTTTGTCAATGGGGGCAGTTTGCCCTCTTTGACTGGTTGTCACCCTTCATAATTGTGTCACCTGTTTTTGAAATTCAAAAAAAGCAAATCAGCTATGTTCAGGTGATTCCTTGTCTCTTCCAAACACTTAGAAATTTTCATGGGGATCAAAGTACACAAATATTTCATTGTCTCTAACCTGGTTTTGTCTTTGCTTTGAAAGTGGCCAATTTTGATTTGTGTGTGTACACATGGACATGTAGAAGTGTGGGAAAGGGGGGTTGAACAGACAGAGTGTGTGTCTGTCTGTCTAGCTTTAAGCTTGACTTTATGGATTTCGGTGCTAGTTTCCCCTCTGCCAATTCAAAAACTATGAAAAAAAATTTAACACATAACATCCCAAATCTTCCTATAAAGTCAGCTTGCAGCAATAGCTCCTCAGCTTGGAAAAATCAGAGTAGGAATCTTACCTTTTGAACTGAACTTTTATTCATAACAAATTGAATATCACTACATTGGGTATTTTTTAGTTATTCCACCTATTCCCTGGCTTACCCGTCTCACTTTTTAATTTCAAAGCCTATACATAGAAATTTCATGAACGAACAATCTGTGTTTTTTTTTTTTTCCTTTTTGAGACTGGCCGCACTGCGCTCAGCCAGTGAGCGCACCGGCCATCCCTATATAGGATCCGAACCCGCGGCGGGAGCGCTGCTGCGCTCCCAGCGCCGCACTCTCCCGAGTGCGCCACAGGCTCGGCCCAACAATCTGTGTTTTTATTAGATGTTGTTGCACGAAATAAGGGAATGACTTAAATCCTACATCACTGAAAGAAATGATAATCAACTATCCCAAGTAACTAATTTCACCATTCAGCCTGAAGTTAACCTACTGCCTTCAGCTGAACTTTCTCTAGTCTTTCCTCCATATTTATAATTGCATTTCAATTTTCTGTTGCACATTAACATTGGAGCACTGGATTTTGTTTTGTTGGTTGGTTGTTTTTTTTCCATTCTTCCCATTAATTCTCATTTTCTACTCTACAATTTGGACTAAAATTCTATTCTTTTGTGGCACCATCATTCACAACTATAGGCAGAATTAGCTTTGGTGGTGGATGTATGTGGGATTGAGGAAGTTGAGCTTTCTTGGTAATCTCCATCCAAGTAGTATGTTTGCTGTTTTCATTTTTATTAATACCCATTGCCTATCTTGCCCTGTCATTAATAATCCATGACTCTTTTCTGTCTCATTCATTCAACACTATTAATAACTTTCTAATCTGGGCAAACACCTTGCTATGTGCTGGAGGTGGGAATAATAATAAATATTACTGACATGAACCCCCCCCTAAAATGGAGGACCCATTCTAGAATGGGAAAACCCTTGTCATTCTCCAAGAAAGGAGCAGCTCAGAACCACTCAGCATTACAGGCAGCCCTCCTTTGCATGGTAGTTCAGGACTGGGAAGACGGCCATGCAAGCCAAAACTATGCACAATGATCTTAATAATCAATGAGAAAAAAATCATAGTCATTCCATGACCTACAAAAATCTTTTGTCAAAATGTTAAATTCTCTTTTACTGTCTGTTATAAACGTTCAGGGACATGAAAAAGTGTAATAAAATTGATATTTATTTGTTTAGTACACAGTAACTTAAAACATTAGAAACTTAGAGAATTCAAATAGATGTAAAACCATATCAAGAGTAGTTTAAACAGTGCTTGCCTTCTTTCACTCATCATGTAACTTACAATATGGACAAGCATCTTTTCTATGCTTTGGAAAATTGTCATACCCTTTCTAAATTTAGATCAACTTTCAACATTTTATCATTTGTGCTTTCAATGTTCTGAAATATCTCTGAGAGTTCCTTTAATGTGAAGTGTTGTTCTTTTTTTCCCCAGAGTTACTTCCTCTGAGACAGTTTCCTCCTTTTCATCACAGCCTCTCTCCTTATTTGCAATAAGACAGTCACCTTCACTGCATCTCTGTGGCTGCACATCTACAGTCTCAGATGAGGGTGGTGCCGTTCCCACTGTCAGCTATTCCTTTAATTAGTCAAAGGATTAACGTTTGATTTTCATCTCATTTCCTGCGTCATTGATTTTTGTTTTTTAGCTGCACTTTCATCTTTGTTGGCCAGTTTTATCTTTCAATGCTTCACTTTTATAAACATGTTCTTAGCCTTCAGATGCCTTATATGATATATGGTTTACGTGGATAACTATTTTTTTTCCAGAGATTTAAAAATCTTTTTTAGAATTTTGGCTACACATTAGTTTGTGAGTCATTGGTCACTGATCATCCTGCACACCTTTCATTTACATAGTGATTTTTGGATCGAAGAGCTAACAGCAAAGTTTATACTTTATGCGATTACAGTTAACATACGGTAACTGAAATTTAAAGCACATTATTGGGGACTGGTTAGCTAAACCACGGTTAGGGAAATTCATGCATATCAGGACCATGAACAATGAGGGACTGCCTACACAGTTGGCCCTCCATATCTGCAGGTTGTGCATCTACAGATTCAAGTAACCGAGGATCAAAAAGTATTTGAAAATAGATATGTAAATAAATAACAATACAGCAATTAAAAAGTAGTGTGAATTTTTAAACAATACAGTATAGCAGCTGTTTACATAGCATTTATATTGCATTAGGTATTATAAGTAATCTAGAGAGGGTTTAAAGTATACAGGAAGATGTGTGTAGGTTACATGCAAATACTATGCCATTTTATATGAGGTACTTGAGTATCCATGGATTTTGGTATCTGTGTCAGGTTCTGGAACCAATCCCCAACAGATACTGAGGGATGACTGTATTTAAAGGGTCTAAAACCAGTGGTAAAATGGCTGAAGGGTAGTATTCAGCACTGTCCAATAGAACCTTCTGCAATAATGGCAATTTTCTAAGTCTGTGATGCTCAGTATGGTAGCAAATAGCCATATGTGGCTGCTGAGTACCTGTAATGTGGCCAGTATGACTAAGAAACTGAATTTTTAACTTTACATAATGTAATTAAATACCCACCTATTGTCTACCATATTGTACAGACCAGTTTTAGTGGGCAAGCAGATAAAAAAAAAAGAGTGAAAAATAAACAGAATAATGACAGATTATAGTAAGTTCTAAAAAGGAAATTTATAGGCTTCTGAGGAAGAGACTATATATAAGTCAGGGCTCTCTCTAGATCTGGAGGAAGAAACTAATTCTGATTAGTTAGTATACATGACACCCATTTTCACACAAGACCGGCTAAAGACATTTAAATGGTATATGTAATGGAGACAGTAGCAGGTAAAGATTCTCCATCATTAGATCATAAATTTGAGTTACCCAAATTGTTTCCCTGGCCCTGGATGAGTCCTAGGTTAAAAGACGAATGAGTGCCCACTCAAAAATGCAAACACATACACACACAGACTCAAACATACTCACTTGTTGTTAGC